AGGCTCTACGAGACCATAATTTGCTTTGAGTTCCAGTTGTGGAGCTTCTGTTGGAATTTTTTGAAAGTAACTGCAAAAAGCAATATAGAAAGCAATTCATTTCATTCATCAACTACTTGAGCGTCTACTATGTTCAAGGCCCTGTGAGAGAAAAAGACAATTTAATGATGAATAAGACAGACAAGATTCTCCTGCCTCATGCAGCTTGAATGAGTAGACGAAACAGTCAGGAAAACTTGTCAACAACAATGCATCGTAACTGAAGCCGTAACAGATGTTGTATACCATGAGAACACGAAAGAGGGGCAATTAACCCCAATGTTGGGGGGCGGGGGTGGTTCAGAAATGCTTTCCAAAGGAAGTGATGGAAGTTATACTAGGCATGTTTAAGCAAGTAAAAGGGCTCAGTGTGACCAGATGCAGAATATAAGGGGAAGGACGTAGAGAGACAAAGCGGGGACAAAATTGATTCTCCCAACCCACACAGGTGGTGATCTACAGTTTGAACAATGCTGACTTAATGGAAAACTGCTTGATAGGACTAGGCAGGACTGACAGAAAATCCATTTCCCTGCTTTACAGACAGCTGCAACCAGAGTGAGATGAATATGCAAAGGGAGCAGAGAAGCTATATATAACACATGGGGAAGAAATAGCAGGGAGGCAAAGTTAAGAGAAAATTAAGACACTGTAAGTGAGCTATATGTTAATAACTTATGTTTAATTTTAAAATCTGCTTTTATATATCATCATCAGAAGCAGAATAAAGTCAGGTCCAACACAAGGGAACTTTATTACCAATTTAAAGACAAAATTAGTTAAACTTAAATGCAATCTGACATAAAATCTTTGGGGGTAGAGACTAACAGAAACTGTGAGATTACTGATACAACATATTTAAACATTATAATTACAAATACATATACTATACTAATATTACTAAAATAATACCGAGCTGTACCCACATAAATCCATTTTCTCTCTGACATTTCTCTAGGGTATTCTTCACAAGATTTCCAAGTTTCCTAAAGAATAAGTGTCCTGAAGGTTTGACCGTTGGTCCGGGTCCTTTGGTTTCTCCATATTCTTTGCACAATGCTTCTGCCTTTGCATAAACTGCATGTGAAAGGGGTATAAAAATCATTTGATTATAATTATTGACTATACTAAAAAGGCTTTGAATCAGAGATGATAGGAACTTTTCTGCTCCTTACCTAGTAGAACAGTAATATCAGTAATAGTGTAAGGGGAAAGGGGGTATTTTCTACAGGTTTTTTGGCTTTTAAAACTTTGTTTCTCTCTCTCCAATTCCCTCACTTGGTCCCATTCTCTTTCATGAACTCAGCCAAAAATCTCTTTTAACTGCTTATTTCCTTTTATGATAAAACATTTGTTTTTTAAAAAGGAGTTAATATTCTGGCAGGAATACTTACATTTTTCTGCTTCTTGGAGAGACCTGATTGCTTCACCACATTTATCACTAGCCAACAAAGTCTGACCATGATAACAGTAAGCCTGATAAAGAAACAAATTTTTATTCATTCTCTCCGCAAATGATGCTTTCTGCTATCATTTTACATATACATCAGATGAATGAGCGCCTTTGTCCACTGTTAGAAGTATCAATGCAACCCCTTACACTTCTTTCCTTCAATAAGCTTCCCCCCAATCTGTTAGTATAAAAAGTGGGATTATGTCAAGGTTTTGAGCCACACTAACCTTCTAACTATGGGCTGACAGCAAAAAGTATTTCTGAATAATGAAATCTGTTTTTACAATTCGGGCACAGCAGATAAAGGAAGGAAATTGCGGTGCTAATGCAGAGGGATAGGGAGGGAGGATTCTAAGGTTAATGACTAAACAGTTGTCAAGAGACATTTTATCAGCCTGTAGTAGGACATGCTCATTCTTTCAATGTCTGTATCAAATGCAGGACTGCAAATTCTTGAAAACAGATTTTTAAGGTATAAGGAATAAAGTATCAACCTGGATCCAAAAACGGTGTTTGATTATCTCTCACATGACATTCTAACCAACAAACAAGTAAGTTTGTTGGTGGGTGTAAGAGACTGGTAAGTAACTTCTCAAACAGTGCTTACTAAGGGTTCTGCACAGATCCAGGGGACATACTGGGTGTAATGCCTTAAAATCAGAATCGGTAAATACCTTCTTCAATGTACAAGATGAAAGGAGAGAATTCTCATTAAGTAGGCAGAAGGTTCCAGATTAAAAGTGGGTTTCGCTCAAATAGTAATTCCACTGCTATAACGCAGTTCTACAATTCTACATAATGTCTTTCCACTCACTTCAGCTCACAATGGCTGCACTGTCCGTGAACAGTTGAGAGCTGTCCGTTATTTGTAAAACGCTAATTAAAGTCTGACAAGATGACAGACCTAGCACTCAAGGGGCTGGAAAGACAGTAATTTACATTGTTTTTCAGGTTATAAATACTTACATAAGCTGTGTAGAAACACATTTTCAAGTGAAGATATTTTCTCCATTTAGCAGAATACGCAGGCTCCAAACTGGATAAAGTATGATCTAAAGTTACATTTTAAAAAGCAAAATATAATTTCACCCTGATTCACTAGAAGACTTTTAGATCATGTGTTCAGATGCTAAAAGCAGAATGCCATTCAAGTCTAAAACTCAAGCATTTACACATTTTCCAAAAAAACTTTGCTTTAAAGTGATTTTCCCATAATATTTTAACTACATAATAAGACTGTTTAAATACCATGGCCCGTCTTTTGATGGTTAACATAACAAGTTTAAGATAATGATAAACACAGAACTTCAAGATAAATACAAATTACATACCGTTATACTGTTTTCTTAAAATTATGTAACATAGCAATGCGTAGTGTGGTCACCCAAGTCAGAAACACGGACACTTTCCTTACTGGTCCATCACTGCAGCACTGAATCTTGCCTAACACACTTATTCACATCCTGCCAACTTCTCTCTAATCCATTTCTCTTCCACTCCCCACTTCAGTGTCTTTGTCAATGCTTCTATCACTTCCTCCATAGACTATAATCACTTGTGGAGTCAGCCTAATAGTCCTTCACTTAGCAAGCCCATTTCTCATCTTACAGTTAAGGGACCTTTCTTAAATTTAAATCCAATCAGTCAGATTTGCTTCAATTATCTACAGAATAAAAACCAAACTTCTTAGATAGGCTTTCAAACCAATTCAGGATCTCACACATGCATACTTTCCTAACCTTTTCTCCTATCACTCACCCTGTGTTTCAGCTAAGGCATCTGTTTAAAGGTCCCAGAATACGCTAAATTATTTCTTTTCTCTGTATGTACTACAGAACGTTCTACTCTTCCCATATGGTAAAGTTTCCTAGCAAACTTAGAACTTCTGTTTATGTTTCAAAGTCAGGCTTAAACTCCACCTTTCCCTAGACAGTCTCCTCTAGCATCCCCAGATCCTTTGGTTTTTATTACACTGCTGTAATAACATCTTATTTTATGCTATAATAATGTGGCTACGTGTTTGTTTCTTTCACCAGACTGTGAATCTGTTCTATTAATCTTTGTATAGCTAGCAACTAAAATAGTAATCATCCCATAAATAGAAACAAATGCTTGTTTCCTAAATAAGTGAATGAAAAGAATAACAGGCTAATGAGAAGACCTGAGTTCGAGTCCCAACTTCACGCCTGCTAACAGTTAAATTACAGGTTAACTAACTCTCTGGAGTTGTTTCTTTAATGACAGCAACTGTAAGGTTATTATTAAGATAAAAAAACCTTCAAAACTAAAACACCTGTATAATTATTACATATAACTGGTTAAGAAGGATTGCTCTGTCCTTTCCATTAAAAGTTACGTAGCGCATTAACAGTTCTCATTCTTTTTTTTTTTTTTAAAGATTTTATTTTATTTATTTGACAGAGAGAGACACAGCAAGAGAGGGAACACATGCAGGGGGGAGTGAGAGAGGGAGAAGCAGACTTCCCGCCGAGCAGGGAGCGTGCTGCGGGGTTCGATCCCAGGATCCCGGGATCATGATCTGAGCCGAAGGCAGACGCTTAACGACTGAGCCACCCAGGCGCCCCCAGTTCTCATTCTTTGAAACAAGATAATAACACAGGTATTATTCCAGTTTTGCAAATGATGAAATGATCTGAGAATCTATTTGTTTTGCTTATTCCCTGTTAAGCCAAGAGTTTAATCCGAAAATCTAAAAACTAAAAATATAACAAAAGAATTATAAACTTACCAGCTTTTTGATAGAAGTTGGCAGTTTCATAGGCCAGTGCAGCAATTAGTCCAGGAGCATGTTTCAGTTCAATTGCTCGAGCAATTGTTACTGTAACCAAAGCACAATAAAGTGAATGTGTAATTAAGTTTACTTGCATTAAATTAATTATAACAGCAAAAGACAGCCCAACAATCTATTTGGAATTTTAATAGTTTGTTAAGAATTTTAACATGAAAAGTTAACTTACAGAAAATGCAAACATAAACCAAAAACACTGAGCTTGCTGATTCTGATATTGTTTCTTTAAATCACTAGCCAATTACTAGCTAATCACAAAAAATTACTACTACAAAACAGCATGTCAGAGGAGAACAAACACTTCCAGGGCACTGGAATTTAAAATAAAGAAAAACAAAAAGCCTACAAAGTTTCTTTATTGGTTTTACTGGAGTCTTCATTTATTTCCTGACACTGAAAGGTGAAGATTTAAAGGCAAGCCAAACAGTGGAAGAAGAAAAGGAAAGAGCAAGGTAGAGAGGGAAAAGAGGAGTTACAGAATTAATCTGATGTTGTCAGAAATGGCATGACATCAAAATCCTTTTTAAACTACAAAGCCTTTTCCTGCTAAACTATCCATGAAGGCAAATGCTGAAGGTGAAATTGTTCCTCACTATAAATCTCTCAAATGTGAGACTCAAATCCAGCTAATTCTGATTAAAAAAAAAAAAAAAATTAGATGCCAAGAGAAATTTCTAAAAAAAAAAAAAAAAATCTTACAATATTTAGGATACCTTCTTGAGCTTCAGCCTGACACTGGACAACATAAGCTTCTAGTAGTCGTGCCTCTAAATCCCTCCCCTTTTCTGCAGGTGTAATAAGCTTTGGGATATGACTTTCCTGAGAGACAAAGAAAAACAACAAAGAAGCCACATTTTATTTTAACCCAGTTGTTAGAGATGAACAAAATGGAAGAGACATTCAGTTTGGGGATTTATCAGAAATTCAGGGGGTGCCTGGCTGGCTCAGCCAGTAGAGCATGTTCCTCTTGATCTCAGGGTTATGAGTTCAAGCCCCACCTTGGGTACAGAGATGACTTAAAATAAAATCCTGGGGTTCCTGGGTGGTGCAGTCAGTTAAGTGTATGACTCTTGATTTCAGCTCTGGTTCTGATCTCAGAGTCCTGAGATCGAGCCCCCTGTCAGGCTCCATGGCCCAGCATGGAGTCTGCTTGGGTTTCTCTCTCCCTCTGCCCTTCCCCTCTCCTCCCCCACCCA